CTGCCCAAAAATAGCCCTGCTAAGGACACTTTCCTGGCAGAAGTCTCATTGAATAACATGCTTCTTACTTCCAAATAGACCTGCTTAGGATTGCTCCTAAAGTTTGTCAGAACCTCTAATATTTGTTTTTAACAGGCATTCTTCAGCTTGTAAGGTTCAATACTTCCACACAGTCTAGCAACACACAAGCAAATACTCTGGCTTATCAGTGGGGATTTTCTTTAAAGAAGTTCAATCCTTCTTGACATCATCTGTTCAGGACAGTAATTCTCACCTTTTAAAACTGTTTTTTCTTGTGGTAGACCTGGTAGTTCTTTTATAAAGGCCTGCATTGTCAGAAATGCTAGGTTCAGAGTGTTTACTTTTCTGAATACTGGATTGTAGAATTACTCTGAAAAGAGTAGGAGAGAGAAGTTATATAAAATGAAGTAAAACTGAAAGAATGTAATACACAGTGAGAAGACCAACATTACATGGTTTTCTGAAAAAATGGATTTTGTAGATAGATGAATATGATTTCTGCTTTGCAACTGGGTGAGAGTAATCTTGTGCTGCTTTAAAATCATGTATAGCATTCATTCCAGACAGCAAGATATCCTACACCCTCTCTTCTGAGAGAAAGAAAGGTTTTGTTAAAAGTGGAAAATCAGGACAGGAGTTTCCATGATGCACAGATCCCACATTCCTCTGTGAAATCTGGGTGATGAATGAAGGGGAAACAAAATTCTGATCACCTTAGGCCAGAAACAAGAAATACAAAAGAAGGTGTTTGCTAACAGGAGTTTCTAACCAATGAGAGTAGAATATTACATGCACCAAAGAGCACACTAAATGCCCAGAGCAAGACAATATTTCCTGAGTCACAACAGCAAAGAGTAGCTATCAATAAGTTTAGTAAAAATAAGTGCATTTAAAAACAAGGTAGTTTCTAATATGCTTAGCCTGCAAAACAAATAGGTCAGTGTCCATTTTTGCTCTATTCTCCTATTTTACTACTCAGATACTGCTCAATAGTGGGAAACAAAGGAGTGTTCTGTTGAGGAAACATTGCCAAATAAATCTCTTCCCCTCCTGATCCACTAAGACTTACCATGAAGGCCCACTTAGAATCAGATCTAGCAGGTGTTAACAGGGTGTTCTTTCCTATGGCTAACAGCTGAAGGCTTCACCTGGAAAGAGCTGCCTAGCCTTTTCCTCTGATCAGTTAAAAAGGCTGAAAAAAATTCTGTTTGGTAAGGGGCAATGAACAGATAGCGTTAGATATTTTTAACCCATAGTGTAGTGTTTTTTAAAGGCCAATTGCATATTTGACAGATTGGGGGGGGGATGTTTCAACTAATTTATATTGTTTGGATGTATAGAAAAGGAAGCTCTGAATTTAGAAATTATATATTTAAAAGTCAATTGATTAATAATATTTCACTCAAGCAATGTCGTAGGAATTTAAAATAGCTTTCCCCTTCACAAAGGGATACTGACCCAGTCATGGGAGCTAGGAAAGTGTTAACAAATGTTTAACCAGCCTGTTTAACAACAATATTTCCCCCCTCGGCCACACTTTGTAAAATGCATGTTTTTCAGCTGAGTGGGATGTACAGTAAGATGGGCAGTAACAGCTGACTCTCTCATTCTGTAACATGCACTTTTATCTACTGTGTCACCCCACTGGGCTGCAGTGCAAAGTTGACCGATTGCTGCAATTTAAAAAGGGAAAAATTAATTACCAAGGCCCCCCCCCACTGATGTAAGTGTTCCAACCATATTAAGACTTACATATATGATAATATTGTAGCCTTGAGCCATGAAAAAAGGTGGGATCTTTCATCCCACCTTTCCTCAAGGTCATGTACAACATAGTACTTTCTAAAGGTAACACCAAATAAAACAGTAGACTGAAAATTTAAGACACATATTAAGTTTAAGAAAAGCTCTGTTTTATTGACAGTATGTTTAAATTATAGCCTATCAACTATTAGAATTGTAAGAGGAGAATCCACAAACAAATTTACAACGCAGCACAAGACCTTCTTAGAGCAACGGAAAGTAGAACATGTGAAATATTCCAGAGTTTCACTAGGGGGAATACTGCCTCATGCACTCCAACTATTATCCTATCTTGTAAAATATTTTCTACCACCATCCTAAATCAAAGACAGAAAGATCTAACCTAGCACTGATGAATGCTTTAGATGAAAGTCTAGAACAAAAACAGCAATCCCTAAAATAAATTTTGCAACTGTCTCAGTGTGATGATTCTTTCACCTAAAGCCCAATCTCATGCACATTTGCTTGGGCATAAATTCCACTGTGTCCAATATGCCTTACTCACAGGTAAATACAGATTGCAGCCTGAAGTGTCTGACTTCTGCCTAAGCACACTAGCCACGGGTCTATGTAATGTACAGTCTGCAATTATCAGCAATGCTGGTGACATGGACAAGGCAAGTATTCAAACCTCAAAGTATCGCAGAACCAGTATGTTAACAAACGCCAACACCCTTGTATACATAAAGAAGTACCAGACATACATTCAACAATACTGCAGTAAACTGTTTTCTTAAAATTGTATCTCAACAATCACACAGAAAAGGATCCAGCATAAGCGAGTACCTTCGCTTCAATGTCTGGCATTTTTCAAAGGGGAATTCTAAGACAGCTAAATCATGACTTATTCATCTAATACACCCTCTCTCCAAGCAAGCAGAGTAGGTTAAATGAACCTTTGAAGACGAAGAAAAAAAGCGCCAGTAAAAGTTTGATACATGCATTTACAAAAGAGGCAAGAAGGTGAGCTACTGCAGAGAATGGAACAGGGGCACTTACACAGTGGCTCTCTCAAGGGGGGTCCTGATGGAACTACGTTCTTAAACCATCTAGACAGAATAGTAGGTTGGGCAGAAGGGGGAGCCACACACAATCCACCAGATGATAATGCTACCCAGGACAGAGACCAGAATAGCTAGGAGATATCTAAAAGGGGTGAGGGTAGGGAGGAAGACAGGAACATGAATTCAAACGGAAATCAAGAAACTTAAAACTACTGGCAGAACATTTCAACCAGTGGTAGTTTAAAAACAAAACAAGGCCATGCTACTCTTTCAGAGGAAATATTTTACCTTCACTTTAATTTTATAAAACAAATACTTCCAGAAGCTGATTCTGCAAATCATTTTCCACCTCAAAAATTGCCTTAGAAGGAAATTAAATCTAAAACAATTAATAACATTCAAAAGAACCCTTTCCCACTATATTATACATCCTCTGTGGGAGGATCAATGAATTAAATTAGCTCTGCTTTACTGCTTTGTGTGATCTAAGGTCAACACACACTATATACAAGAGGTAGCAGAGAGGGTTATGTTGCTTTATTATGTTCCAATCATAATAACAATTCAGAGAACATTGTCAGCTGTCTGCTTTCACTCACACATAGCCAAGTCCGTCCTATACAAAAACTAGCTCTAGCAGCAATTCTGCTAAATGGGAAACCTAGTAAGTAAGGATTTTCAGACTGAAACCTCCCCCAAAATACTAAAATCAATCTAGAATAGTCTTTTAATACAGCTAGTTTTATTCCTAAAAAACAGAGACAAAGGAGCTCCTAGGCACTGTCCTAACATCAAGTTTAAGAAAGCACTTTGTGATGTCTAGCTGCTGGACCTGTTAAGGCAGAGGATGCATTATCTCACAGAAACAGAGAAGAGGATTTGCTGGTGGTAAAGAGATCAAACAATGAAAGCAAAAGACTTAGCTATTGTAGTGAAAGTTAGTGGCAATAAATTAATCTGCACTTGTTATTACGAACACATACTCCAGTCAGTCTGCAAGAAAGAGGCTTTAGCATTTATAGAAGCAAAATAAAATTAACTTACGTTAGCGGAACTGAGTTTGCTTTTGCCTGCCTTTTACTTTTCAGAGCTCGAAGCTTATCCCCTTGTGTAAATGTGTTTGTTTCATCTTCATCACTGTACTGTAAATAAACGGCAAGCCACTGGGATTATTCATATAAAAATTAAACTTCAAAGTCTTACTTTTGAAGTATCAAATCTAACATATATCTCAAGATTGGTGACATTAATGAACATCTCACGCAGTGTCAAAAGATTTGGCGTCAGAGGGCAGCGGTGTTGGTCTTCAGCAGAACAGCTAGATTTGAGACCAGTAGCACCAAATAAGATTCTGGGGGTATGAGCTTTCGAGACTCAAAGCTCCCTTTGTCAGATACAAAGGGGCTCTGACTAATAAAAAGCTTATACCTCAAAAATCTTGTTGGTCTCTAAGGTGCTACTGGACTCAAATCAAGAGATTTTGTGTACAGGTAATTGTCTGATTATTCGATAGCAAGAAATTGCAAGTAGATAAATAGGTTCCACTTCGGTGGGAAGGTAACAGCGTTCCGTGCACCTTGGTGTTTAGTCATGCCAGCCACATGACCACGGAAACGTCTTCGGACAGCGCTGGCTCTTCGGCTTTGAAACGGAGATGAGCACCGCAACCCTAGAGTCGGATTCGACTGGCTTTCGAGCAAGGGAACCTTTACCTTTACTTTAATTGTCTGACTATTTTAAAATATATTTTAATTTAAAAAACAATAAGTAGAGAGAGGCTACAGAAAGAAAAAAGGGATTGTACAACATAATTGTGCATATCAAAAACAATCACATTTAACAAAATGTATGAAATAGAAAATATTTATCTCCAACATCCCCTTCATTATAATTATCTGTAACATACAATAGTCCTTTCCTTACTTCTGTTGGGGTACATTTATATTCAACATCTTAAATTTCAAACTTCATAACTATGTCTGTTTTGCAACTACATGATTGATTGCAGTCCCAGTGCCCAAAGGAGGAGAGAGGGCAGCAAAGGCATGGACCCCTTTACAACTACCCACTAATAATACAATCACACAGAGCATTTTGGAATACAATGGTCACAGTTTTATTGGCTACAGCTGTAAGAAACCTTGGCACAGCATGAGTCCACTGAATCCTGGCAGCGACTGACCCGGCTGCCAGTCAATGTACCCCCCCCGTCCCACCTGCGTGGGGAGAACCATGAGATGGTAGGTTGCTGGAGTCCACAAGGACAATCACTGCTGCACCATCTCCCCACCACCTGATCATGCGGGTAACCCACTGGCAGCCCCTGAGCTGGGCATGCCCCTTGAATACCCTCACCCCAAGACCCTTCGGAGGATCACCATATTCTGGGAAAATAGCATATAGGCTGATTTCCTAAAATGGATCTGGCCCCATGCTGATACCACTCTAAGGTTGTGACAGATGAATGAAGCAGAAAAAACATCACAAAACAAGAACATTATCTGTGCTTCCCCATAACATCCCCCCCCCAAGCGGGGCTACTTGAACACCCCCAAACTGTCTCCCTGACAAGGACTAACACATAGGGTGGGATAATTCTAACCGCTATCATCCTGTATTTGAATATTGCTTCTACAATTTTTGGTAATTTGGCAGTACACATAGTAGCATGTTCTTGGCTTCCATTGGGAATTTAAACTTTAATACGTTTTGCATTTTTCCATGTATTTCCTTCCAATATCTTATTGCTTTTTTACAAGTCTACCACACATGAAAAAGTTTTCCTCTTCGTCCTAGAGACCAAGCCCTATGAGGAAAGGCTGAGGGACTTGGGAATGTTTAGTCTGGAGAAGAGGCGGTTGAGGGGGGACATGATTACTCTATGTACTTGAAGGGCTGACACTTAGAGGAGGACAGGAAGCTGTTTCTGTTGGCAGCAGAGGATAGGGCTCACAATAATGGTTTAAATTAAGGGCAGAAAGGTACCGGCTGGATATTAGGGAAAAAATTACAGTAAGAGTTGTGCAACAGTGGAATCAGTGGCCTAGGGAGGTGGTGAGCTCCCCCTCACTGGCACTATTTAAGCAGCGGCTAGACAAACAATTGTCAGGGATGCTCTAGGCTGATCCTGCATTGAGCAGGGGGTAGGACTAGATGGCCTGTGTGGCCCCTTCCAACTCTGTGATTCTATTATTCATTTTATACCAATTTTCTCTTAATGTCTGTCTGTAAATTTGATATCTTTTCCCCATAATTGTTCCCATTCTTGCATAGATATCTGTTCTTTGAAATTTTGCATCCATTTAATCATATATTTTTCACTTGTTCTTCCTCTATTTCTAGCTGGAGTAAGATCTTGTATATCCATCGCAATAAATTCTTTTTTGTTTTATAATCAGCTGTTCACGTTCAGTCATGTCTCTTAGTGCTCCATCTTCAACATTCATGATTTTCTTTAATCTTGAGGCTGATTGATAGTATAGCAGCCATTGTATGCTTATATCTTCATATCTAATATCTTGTCATAACTTGATTTTCCCCTGAGCATTTATCATCATACCATATGTTAAAATAATTATTTTTTATTTTTCATGTTCTTATCATGGTATACTTCTATTGGGGATATAAGAAGAGAATTTGGGGGGGGCTCAATAAATTCCAATGTGCAAACCATATTCTCAAAAATCCATCTCTAATTATGTGACTTCTGTCTTGTGTTATAATCATCTGATCTTTTAATCCAGAAGTTATTGTGTAAGCCTTCATGAAGGTGAGCGGATACTAGTTTTACTATTCTTTGTCTTGGGTTTTTAATCCAGTCCACAATCCAAACCAGGCCTACTGCTTGGTAGTATAATTTTATGTCTGAAACTGCTAATCCTCCTCTTTTTTTCTTGTCTTATAATATTTTGAAGCATATTCTTCGGTTTTTGCCATTCCATATAAATTGGCTTATCTGTTTCTGTTACTCTTTCAGTATTCTTTCTTCTATGTATATAGGTAACTTTTGGAACAGAAAGTTTTGTTTTGGCAGCACATTCACTTTGCAGAGATTCTTACTAGCCACAAGATTTTTAATTTTTCCCAGCTAGATAAATCTGCTTATATCAATTTCCAAGTTTTCTGGTAGTTATTTTTGAAAAAGTTACAGTTTTACTTGGTCACATTTATTCCCAAATATTTAATAGGATCAGTAGTTGCTGAGCACTGTTCTCTCTATATTCTCTTATTCTTTTTGTGTTAAATATTTCATAATCATTTGTCTTCTTTCTATTATTTTTATAGCCTGAAAAGGAATCAAATTCTTCAATATGTTCAATTACATATTGTAATAATTTTGGGGGATTCAGGACTGTTAAGACCACATCGTCTGCAAAACTTTTTATTTTAAACTCTGAATTTTCCACATTTATTTCATTAATTCTAAAATCTCTATTGGTAATATGGTGAATAGGGGTCACGTGTTCCTTTTTTGATTGAAATTGCTTCTGTTAATTTCCTATTAATTAAAATCTTTGTTTGTTGATTCGAGTATATGCCATGCATCCCATTCCAAAATTCAGGATCACAATCCATGTTCTATAGTACATTCAACAAGAAAGACCATGTTAAATTGTCGAACACTTTCTCTGCATCCAGAAACTCTGCTTTCTTTCTCTTGTTCAAAAGTTCAATTGCATCTGTCTTGAATCGTATATTATCTCCCACATACCTCTTGGTACAAAGCCTGTTTGATTGGAAATACATTTTAAAAATCTTTCTGCCATTATTGTGGAAGAATTCTGTAATCTAAATTCAGCAGAGAAATAGGTCTGTAAGACTGTGTAACAATGCCTCACTGCCCTCTTTATGTAGACGCCTCTGATGTCGCATTGTCTTTTTTCTTTTACCTCATTCATAACATTCATAACTGTCTTGCCACATCAGAGGCATTGTCTTTTTTCTTTTACGTCATTCATAACTTTTTGTAATGGTATCATTAATACTTTTTCAAGATGCTTATAATACATTGCTATCAACCAGTCTAGTCCTGATGCTTCATCTTTCATGTTCTTTATTGCTTAGGTAATGTCTTGAATTGTTATTGTTTGGTTTAATATTTTTCTATGATCTGATGTAAACTTAGTGATTGGAATGTGTTTTAGATATTCTCTTATTCCTTCTTCTGAAACAGACTTCTTGTATAATCCTGGAAAACAACCCTGATAAATTCCTTCCTGTATTTCATTTTCTGCATATCTTTACACCTGTTGTTGCTCTTTTTCCTCTTTCCTTCCTGAGACAATATGCCAAATATTTTCCAGGTTTGTTTGCATATTCAAAATGCCTTTTTAAGGAAACTTTTAAATTTTTCTGCAATTCTTCCACTTCTAACATGTCTAATTGATATTTAATTGTTTAGTCTCTGCTAGTGTTTCTTTATTAAGATTGTTTCTATGTTCTTCTGATCTCTGTTTTTGTTCTACTGCTTTTGTTCTGATCTTTTTCAATTTTTTTTGCAGCAGCTGCCTGTAGAATTCCTCTGATAAATGCTTTATTTGCTTCCCAAATTGTGGCTGAGGACATTACTTTGGTATTATTTATTCTGAAAAATTCTTCCAGATCCTTTTTACCCTTACTTATCACATCTTATTGCAGTAAAAGAGCATCATTTAATCTCACATCTTTTTCTTGATTTTTTCTACTCTATTGCAAGACTGTTTCTGTGGTACTTTTTCTAGATTCGTTGTCAAACTTTTTTATGTCCAACACATGTATATTTTTGACTATGTTTGATGTCTGTCCAAGAAAAAGGTAGTCCGGGTGCTTGGTTCCCCCAGGTATCTTCTAGTTTTAGCATTTCAATGTATTGAAATACATTTTTGGATAGTTTTCCACCTTTAATATTCCTTTATCTGTCTCTATTTGGAGATCTAATACTACATTCATGTCACCGAAAATCACGATTTTCATCTGCTTGAAAGTTGAGCATAGTTTGGAAGAAATTCTCAAAAATAATTAACTTTAGCATCATTTAGTGCACATATTGTAGCTATTGTGCACACTTTGTCTTCTGGGAATCTCATTTTTAGGATTAGGTATCTTCCATCTGGATCTCTTAATTCTTCTAATACTTCTAATTGTAAATTATTTATATAAATGGCTACTCCACATTTTTTGTTTTGAGCTGAAGGGAGATATACTTTGCCTGTTTTTTTATTGTTTACAATATGTTCATATTTCTTCTTTATATGATTTCTTATAGATATAAAATATCAGCTTTTGTTTTTTAAGTTGATTAAAGATTTTCATGAGTTTCAAGGGGGAATCCAATCCATTAATATTTACTGACACTATTTTTAATTTATCTATGCTGTCCTGATGTTATTGCCATGTCCAGTTTGTCCTTTTCGGTGCTCCTTTCTTCTTCAGAATTTTTGGTCTGTGAATTTTGTTTTGGGCTACTTACAAACTGCTTAGGGTTACTTGAAGATTTCCCTTCAGTTCCTCTGTGTAAGCCCTCTGCTTGCAATTCTTTGGCCAGTTGTTTAGATTGTCCTTCTGTTACAATTATGTTCCTTCCTTCTGGTAAGTGTACCTCGGTTGCGGATGGTATTTTCCAATTATATTTTCCTTTTGTAAAATCAGTCTCAAAAAAAGTATTTTCTTTTCTTTAACACACTTGTTGGTAAATCCTGAAAGTTCTGCACTTCTTTTCCTGCTACATTAAAAGGTTATTCCCTTTGCTTCTTTAATATAGCATCATGTATTCTCTTGTGGGTAAAATGGACCAGTATATTTCAGGGTAACTTTTTCTTGAATGCAAATCTTGAATTCACTCTAAAAATGTGATCAATATTGAGAAAGTCTCCTTCAATCTTCAAATAATTCTGAAGCATGTCATGAAAGCTTCCTTCCAAATGTAGCCTCCTGAAGTCCTCTGGAATTCCTCTGAAACACAGGTTGTTAGATCTGCATTGAATTCCCAGGATTTCAATTCTTTGTTGTGTTTTCTCAATCCGATAGTTTTGCCTTTCTAAGTGTGCATCATTGTCTTTTTGTTTCTGTTTAATTCTTACAGTTTCTCGTGTTTGTTCTTGTAATTTTAGATTAATTTCTGATAGTCCAGCCAATATCTCAACACTCTTCTTGGATGTTCTTCTGGGTTCTTTCCTCAGATTCTTGGGTATTTCTCAGAATATCCTTCAGGATTCTTCCAAGAAAGATAGTGATTTGAAAAGGAGTACTTTTCAAGGCTTCAGACCTATCTTGCAGTGGGCATAACATGGCAGGGAGAAGGAGAATTTATTTCTCTGTCCTTATCTCTCCCCCATGGGGGAGACCCCAACTGGCAGGTGAACCCATGGGGGGGGGCTTGATCTCTCTAGTTCCACAAGGTTCTGAAAACACTGAGGACAGTGGAGACTAGGTGGGCTTTTCTCAGATAAAATCTGCCTCCCCACAGCTTTTGTTCTCTTTTGTTGTTTTTATCAATCTAAAATTTTCAATCTCTGCAATATTCTGCCTTATTCCTTATAACTCGCAAGACTGCGATCACAATATGGCAGACTGCCAGCAGCATCTGAACTCGGTGTCTGAACCCAGTGGTAAGAAGAAACCTCTTGAAAATGTATTGCTTTTAAAGAGTTAATTAACAAAAGATTTATGTGAGCAGTATAAAGATAAGATCACTGAACTGCATACAACTGTCTTTTAAGAAAACTTCAGTTTTAATAACAGAGTGGAATATTAACTGCATTGGACTGTATTAAACTCTCTTTTCCTTTCTTCTGGATGAATTTTATTTCAAATAATTGTGGATTATCCTCTCTATGGAGTGTACAATCAGCTATTTTGTTCCCTCTCTTGGATGAAAGATGTTTATTTAAAACACACAGTCTGGCTGATTTGTCAAAGTCTGCTCAATGGAAACACAAGATTTATTTCCCTTTTTTAATATATTTTACCTACTTGGACACTTTCTTTGATACGCCCTAGAATAAAAAGCAAGACAACGACTCTAGACTAACTGACAATATTTTCTTTCTGAAAACCTTAGTAGAACATGCGTACCAGGAAATAAAAGCAAAGATGCTGGGTAGACCCCCTTTCTTGTTTCCTTGGGTGAATTACAACAGACTAATATAGACTTTTTAAAGAGCCAATATATCAAAGACATATTTTCTCTATTCTTCCATGTTTTTTCCTCTCTTCATTTTCTTTCTCTTTTAACAAACTTTTTCATACCATTTAATACACAGAATGTATACAGATCTCCCCTTTTACTTTAATATCATTAAAATGTGTTTTTAATTTTTCTAAAAAATCATTTTTATAATTACTTCCATTATTTCCAATACTCCCTCCTCAGTTTATTTTCTCTCTCTATTATCTTGTTGTTGTCTCTGTTCTTTCCCCCCTCCCCCTCCTTTCTTTTGCACTTGTTTAACTATTAACTTGGATACCAAACCAACAGTAGGAGAAAACCATGTGGCACAAAGAATTTCAGCAATATAATGCAAAATTTTAACTGCAGCTCTTCCAGCTTTATGTCACCACTGAAATTTTTATCTGTTCTCTGAAGTAAAGATTTCAGTACAGTTATTTATGCCCACACCCCTACTGTCGAACATTTTCATTCTGAAATTAACTGCATGTTTCCTGCACCACCACACCACACAACCATTATATATTTATTAGATATACAGAAAAACATAAAAAAGGAATCCACTGACTTTTGCTTTATTATGCCCATTTTAATAAAAGTTTACTAAAATTGACAACAGCACAAGTTTTGGATCTTTACCAGTTCAGTATCGTTTTTGTTGGTTCTCTGATTCTTGGAATTGTTAATTGAAATATCATCTACACCTGAAAGAATTTTTGTAACTTCAAGTTTTGAGTTCTTCCTTAACTTTGAACGGAAAGAATCGCCTTCCATCCAAAGTTCTGACTGTTTCCTATAAAGGAAAATGGGAAAAAGAAATATATGGGTTAGAAAACAGAAGATTTTAATGTACAGTAAAAAACTTTGTTACCTGGCACTTGCTTATCCAGAACACTCAGTTAACTGGCATTGTCCAAAGGGGAGTGTGAGTGCCTCATTCCTGCCAACTAGCTTAAGGCCTACAGCCATTGCTGGGCTTCTGACAGCCAGGCTGCTAGCCATCTTCATTATCAGGTGCTTCCCCATCAGTTTCTCTCAAGCTGTCAGGAGCCAACTGGGCCAGATGGCTCCTGAGCAGCTGGCCCACTTGTCTTCCTGTTGCGTAAGATGGCTCCATGGCAAGGGGCGAAAAGGTCCCACCAGGTGTGGAGGCTGTTAGTATCAAGTTTGGTTTATTTAATTTAATTAATTTGTACCCCAGATTTCTTCCCAATGGGGAAGCAAAGTAGATTACATTGTTCTCCTCACCTCCATTTTATCCTTACAACAACTCTGTGAGGTAGGTTAGGCTGAGAGTGTGTCACTGGCCCAAGGTCCCCAATGAGCTTCCTTGGCATGAGTGGGGATTTGAACCTGAGTCTCCCAGATGCCAGTCCAACACTCTTAACCACTATACCACAGTGGTACTGGTTGCTCTGGATTCCTTTGGATGGGAGCAGGACCAATAAACTTTAATATCCAGCACATATGAGTCGCTTGCAAGTCCCATTCCTTGTGAGCACAGTTCCTCCTAAACTGTGCTAGGGGGCGCTGGCACACATTTAAGAGGCCAGCTCAGAGGATTTCTGCTTCAGCTCACAAACAATGGAGGATAAGGGGACACCTCCTTCTGGGGCCCATAAAATTGGACCTCCTCGTCCAATCTTTTTGAAACTTGAGGCTTTTTTGAGGAGAAGCACCAGCAGCTATGCTGTAAATTTGGTGCCTCTACCTTAAAAACCACCCCTTGAGCCCCAAATACCCCTGGATCAATTCTCCATTATACCTATGGGGCCATTGACTATAATGGTCCCCCATAGGCTATAATTGGGGCCCATTGACTATAATGGTCCTCCACAGGCTTCTGCACACCCCTACTATGCTTTTCAATATGATTTGTAAGCTGCCCTGAGTCACAGGGAAAAGTGGGATATAAATATTTGAATAGATAAGAAGTTTGGGCACGTTGATAAGATTTAAGCAACTTCCTGTTTTTTAGGTTAGCCAGGGTTCTGACAGTGATTGCTCTACCACTGTTATACTTGACCTGTAATGCTGGTTGTCATCTACCAATATAGTGGACTGGGGTTGGTATATCAGTTCTCTGGAAGCCAAGTCTACCAATATAGTGGAAAGGGGTGGGAAGACCAGTTCTCTGGTGGACAGGTCTACTAATATAGTAGATTGGGATGGATAGACCTGTTGTCTGGAGGCCAGGCCCACCCATATAGTGGAAAGGGGTAGGTAGACCTACCAGAGGCCTGGTCTACTCCTGTAGAGGACAACATCTTGTGTAATGAAATTTTACTTGATTCTGTTTTCTCTTATGATGTTTGAATTATTTTTAAAATATAGTTTAATTCATTCTGAGATGTTTACAAAGCTATAGAAAGAATCTTCTAAAATAATTTATACAATAGGTAAATGTAGTCTTGCTCACAACTTTAATGCTACTAGCTTTTTCACTCACAAGGTAGAATTTTTGCTCACAACAGTGTAGAGCTAAGAGGGAACATTGCCTGTGAATACTGGTTAAAAAAGTTTTTACTGTTGTTCTATCTGCTTAGTTTGTATTTATCTATATAGTAATACCAAAGTTCGACAAATCTGAGGATACTTAAATCGCTGACTGCAGCTGTGAACAGGCAAGACAGAACTTTCTACAAACCTGAAAAGGGCAGTAGGTTTGCATATAAATATGAAATCTAAAAACAAAAACATTGTGGGATTTTAAAAGCCTGACAGTGATAAAAGGAGGGCCTGTAGCTTTAAGTAACAGATACTGAAGGCACAATCACAAATGATTCCTATGAGAAGGAAAAATGGGAGGAGCCTAAAGAAGCCAAGGTGGCTCCATAAATAGCTTTCTAAAGACTTGAGAAATAAAAAAGATCTTATAACCAAGGATGAATATGAACAAATCACCAGTGCTTGTAGAGAAAGAGTTAGGAAAGCTAAAGCTCAATATGAGCTTAGGCTAGCGAGAGATGCTAAAAACAACAAATAATAGTTATTTTCTTAAAAAGAGCAAGGACATGGTAGGCCCATTGCGGGGACAGGAAAGTGTAATTGTAACAGGTGATGAAGAGAAGGCAGATCTGCTCAATTCCTACTTTTCCTCAGTCTTCTCTTGCAAGGGAAATGGTGCTCAACATGGCAGAAGCAGAACACATGATGAGGGAAGGGAGTTGCAGCCTAGGATCGGCATAGGGGTAGTACATAAACACCTAGTTTTGTAAATGAAACTATCCTCGGCACCAGATGAACTGCATCCGAGGGTACTAAAAGAACTTGCAGATGTGATTTCTGAGCCTCTGTCCATTATTTTTGAGAATTCTTGGAGAACAGGTGAGGTGCTAGACGATTGGAGGTGGGCAAATTTTGTCCCCATGTTCAAGAAGGGGAAAAAGGAGGATCCGGGTAATTACTGACCCATCAGCTTGACGTCGATATCTGGGAAAGTTTTAGAACAAATCATCAGACAGTCCTTGGGCGTTTAGAAAGAATGGCTGTGATTACTAAGAGCCAGCATGGGTTTCTCAAGAACAAGTCATGTCAGACTAACTTTCTCTTTTTCTGAGAAAGTTACTACCTTGCTGGATCAGGGGAATGCTGTAGACATAGGTAATTTTTATTTCAGTAAGGCTTTTGATAAGGTTCCACATAACATTCTTGTTGACAAATTGGAAAAATATGGTTTGGATCCTATGACTGTTAGGTGGATCTGTAACTAGCTGACAGATCGCACCCAAAGAGTGCTTGTGAATGGTTCCTCATCCTCTTGGAGAGGAGTGACAAGTGGAGTGCCTCAAGGATCTGTCCTGGGACCTGTTTTGTTCAACATCTTTTTCAATGATTTGGATGATGATACTAAATTGGGAGGGGTAGCAAATACAGAGTCAGGATACAGGATGATCTTGACAGGCTGGAAAACTGGGCTAAAAAATAAAATGAAATTCAATGGGGATAAATGTAAAGTTCTGCATTTAGGTAGGAAAAATCAAATGCATAATTATAGGTTGGGGGAGACTTGTCTTGTGCGAAAAGGATCTAGGGGTCTTAGTAGACCATACACTGAAAATGAGTCAGCAGTGTGATGCGGTTGCCAAAAGGCAAATGAGATTTTGGGCTGTATCAACAGAAGTATAGTGTCCAGATTACGCAAAGTGATAGTACCACTTTACTCTACTCTGGTTAGACCTCACCTAGAGTACTGTGTTCAGTTTTGGGCACCACAATTTAAGAAGGATATAGACAAGCTGGAACATGTCCAAAGGATGGCAACGAAGATGGTGAAGGGTCTGGAGATCAAGTCCTATGAGGAAAGGTTGAAGGAGCTGGGTATGTTTAGCCTGGAGAGGAGGTGACTGAGAGGTGATATGATAACCATCTTCAAGTACTTGAAGGGCTGTCGTATAGAGGATGGTACAAAGTTGTTTTCTGTTGCCCCAGAAGGTCTTGCATAACTCAAATAGTCTTAGCTATTTGCTACTGTTCAAACAGCAGCCACCCTATGAAAGCCAGTGTGTTGTAGAGGTTAGAGCTTTAGAGTAGGGTCTGAGAGACTCAGGTTTGAATCTCCATCTTGCTGTGGAAGCTCACTGGTGATTTCGGACCAATCACATACTTTGAGCCTAACCTACCTCACAGGGTTGTTGTGTGGATAACATGGAGAGGAGAATAATGTTAGCTGCTTTGGTCCCCACTGTGAAGAAAGGTGGGGTATAAGCAAAGTAAATAAATAATATAGCTGAAGATGGCAGGCAGACACAAGGTAGGTTGGTGAATGGCTGAGAATGAGGCAGGGAAAAAGAGAAGATATGAGGGTTGTTAGGAGGAGGGAAAGAGGAAATAGTGTGCGGGGGGATAGAGGAGAAAGTGAGGTCCCCCTCCACAAGTCCTTGAGTTTCCTACCATGCAAGTGAGCCTGGCCCAGTGGCTGGCACTGCACAATTGGACCACAGTTTTCCTAGGCAGAGGCTACTAGGAGAGAAGAGAGGGAAAGCTTAAGACAGAAAGATGGGGAGATAAAAGGCTGGGCGTTGGTTGGGAAGGAGTTGGGATTGCCATCTTTAGGTTAGGGAATTCTTAGAGATTTGGGAGGTCTGAGGAGAGGAGGGATGTAAAAGGAGATAGGATTGCCATCTTTAGGTTAGGGAATTCTTAGAGATTTGGAAGGTCTGAGGAGGGAAGGGATGTAAAAGGGGTGTAATGCCATAGATTCTGGCCTCCAAAGCAAGCATTTCATCCAGAGTAACTAGTGCTGCCAACTTCCATACGGGGGCTGATGATCACCCGGTATTACAACTGCTTTCCAGACAAGAAAGATCAGTTACCTGGAGAAAATGGCTGCTTTGGTGGATGGCATTACAGGGGTGGAAACTAGTCAGAGGGTCAAAAATACTGATTTTACTGACCAGAATTCAAAAAAAAAAAGACCAAATACTGACAAAAAATGGACAAATTACTGAACAATTTAATGTCAGCCTACTGATAAGCTAGTGTTTTAAATGTAAAACTAGGACTTCATTAAAAATTATCATTATCTGGCCTCCACCACTCCCATAGCCAGCCCCATAGTTAGCTGTGACCCAGATAAAAGGATTGAACACCCTTTTTATTGATTTTTTTTTTAAGAATAGAGGACAATGTTTTTATTATTTTACAAAATTTAAGACAAAAAGGATGCCCTTTAAAAAATAATCACATATTGCAGATAATAAAACTGCAAAACAGCAAAAACATATTAAAAACCAAACATAAAGTAATAATTATGACAACAAAACATAATTACTGTAAGATAAGACTTGTCTT